CCAAGATAACTCAGTGGGAACGACTTGAACTTGGGAACCAAATGGATTTTCACAGTGAGGGGTCCTGTGGCCATCAGTCAAAAGGGACGAGAAGTCAGAAAATTCATAATTGTTATGTGCAGGTACTACGACCTCGTTCATGTCAGGCGCGCTGCCGTGACCGTCTGAATTTCTCACTTCAACCCTAGAAGCCAGCTTTCCCCCCCACCCCCGAGGTGTTCATTTGAAATCCCTCAAGCTACTGCCCAGGTGTAAGAATTGGACAGTGAACATCTGTGCACCCCCACCTGCCTCCTCCCACGAACCTTCTTCCATACTTGATTTCTCACCTCTTTCTCTACCTATCCATCAATCCAGTCCTTTTTTTTTTTTTTTTTCATTTATTTTTTAGGAGTAGTTGGAAACGATACCTTTATTTTATTTATTTTATGTGGTGCTGAGGCTGGAACCCAGGGACTCGCACGGGCTAGACGAGCGCTCTACCACTGAGCCACAGTCCCAGCCCCTCCATCCTACTTTTTTCAAATATTTTTTTAGCTGTAGTTGGACACACAGTATCATAGTTTACTGATTGGTGTTTTGTGTGGTGCTAAGGATCAAACCTGTACCTCGAACGTGCTAGGGAAGCGCTCTGCCACTGAGCCCCGGCCCGGCCCCAGCCCCAATGCAGCCCTATTTTTAAAACCTACTTCAGAGCACATGGCAGCCCTCGGTACCTCCCCTCTACACACTCCAGCTGTGTGTCTTGAACAGAGCTGTCAAGTCATGGTCCTGCCCCTGGCCTGCAAAGAAGGCCCCTGCGGTGAAGTCCAAGCCCCAGGTCAGCACGGCCAAAGAGCTTCGATGGAGCTCCAGAGCATCGGCCCCAGACCCAGCCGCCGATTCTTCCCCTGCATGGCCTCCTGCATCTTGTGCTGTGTTTATGGTAGGAAGTGGGGATGGGGTGTGTTGGGGGACACAGTGCTTTAGCCAGTTGCTCATGGCACTGGACAGCAGCAGGTGGAGAAGAGACCCAAAGCCAGGACATGAGGGAGGCGGCGGTGGTGTCACGGGAACCCCAGCAGTAGAGGCCGTGGAGCCATGCTGGAGGTCGCGGTCCCCGGGATCTCATCAGGTGACCTGCGGTCTGCTGGCTGCTGCCCTTTGCGATTTGGAGGAGCCAACGCCAAGGTGTTTTTATTCCTTCCCCACTGTGTTCTTAGAGGGGTCCCATCAAAAGCCCGCCAGGCCCTCTGTATCAGGGAGGGATCCTATGGCTCAGCCGCCCCTGGTCCTGCTGGGAAGGGCTGCTTCAGGAGCTTCAGAGAAGACAAAGTAATTGATTGCTACTTGCAGCAATCAACCCATAAGCTGTTGCTGGGTTGATGGAGAAATGGTGACTTAATTTTCTTCAAAGGATTGATCTGACTGTCAGGAGAAGCGGCCAGCCTGATTGAGTGTGCTGGTTCACACCCTCCGTGGGAACACCAGAGGGTCAGGGGCCATGATCGGAGTTCCCCCCGGAGTTCCCGGAGGCTCAGGGAGGCCTGGGTGTTGTGAGCTGACTAGGGTGTCATTCCCTGGCCCCTGCCTGCTGGGCACATCTGAGTCCTCACAGCAGCTCCCAAGACAGCTCAGTGGAACCACTTCCTTACCCTGCAGCACGCTGTGCTTTCCGTGCCGTAGCGGATTGTGGCGTCTCTGGATGAGTGGCTTCTGAGAAGTGGAGCCCGTCTCCTCTGTCTCCTGCAACTCCTCAGTCACCACCAGCCCTGCGCCACTGGCTGGGTGAGGCCTCTCCCGCCACTGCACCTGGCATCAGGGAGCCGTGTGATTCCTTCAAGTCCTTGTCAGACTGTTCTGTGCCACACAGTGCCATCTCTATTCCCCTGAGGCCCGACCCCCAGGTCAGAGAGTTCCAAGGACTGCCCACTGTCCACAGTCTGAAGGCTCCCTGAGAGCAGGACTTTGGGCTGTCCTGCTCACCACTGCATCTCAGCATCTGAAGGCCCCAGGGGTGGCGGCACCCCTTCAGTGCAGCCTGCACGCATGAGGACGCTCCAGGCTGGAATTCGGGCGGCATTCCTGACTGGAAGGGGACCTGGATCCCCACCGAGAGGGTCACCACGTGCCCAGGGAAGAAGCAGCCTTGCCAGAGGCAGCCAGCAGCATCGGGTGGCTTCCTCGGCCTGCGGGGCCTGCCTGTGGAAAGCTTGCATGGTGTGAGCCAGGCGGAGCTGGCCACATGGGGGACGTCCCATCTCTGAGGAAACTAGGTAGGCCTTTTCTCTGGCCTCATCCAGGGGACTGGACCCCAGATTCTGATCAGCTCGCTCAGGATAGTGGGAAGGTCACGCATCCGTCGGCCTCCATGCCACAACCAAGTCATTTGTCAACCTGTGTCCTTGGAAGTTTCTTGACCACAGGATCCTGGGACCACGTCAAGTGGGACCAGCTTATGGACGCTGCCGAGGAAGGTCAGTCTTGCAGCGCTTGGCCCTGAGGAAGCTCCCAGGCGGCTCTCCACTTCAGAATCGGCCCTGTTGTTCAGCGTGTGGCATTAGAGAACCTAAGCCCCAGTGCCACGGTGTCCCCATTCCAGTGAAAGTCAGTGGCCCCTGCTGCTGAGGGCCACTGCGGTCCCCATAGTCAATCCCATTCAGCTCCGATGGTCGCACAGGGGCGGGGCGGCAGCATGTAGCATCCTTTGCCAATGGAGCCAGAGCCTGGAGGTCTCGCTGCAGGCCCTGCTTTCTTGGAATCCACCCCCCACGCACTCACACGCACTCACACTCACGCACACTCACGCACAGTCACGCACACACACAGACGTGAGGGATCTGGACCCTGTTCCTCAGCCCAGCCTGACCTCTGATCAACACCCCTGTCTGAAGGACCCTACAAGACCCTGAGTGCTTACTCGGTTGTGATCTGAACTCCAGCTGCGGCCTAAAACCCAGAGTCTCGGATTTCAGAGCCCTAGAATCCCGCTGGCCTAGAGATCCCCCGTCAGGATGAAGACTTCCTGGATTCTACATGTAGTTGGAGCCACCAACTCCAAGAATTAGATCATGGTATTGGCATCCATGCTTCATTATGAAGAGACCGTTTAAATACAGCCAAGTCAATCAGCCCCACTTGCTGCTCAGGAATGAGCCACATCCTGCCAGAGGAGGGAGCTGGAGGGAGGCTTCAGTCCAGGTGCTGAGTGGCCTCAAAATGGGAGCATCCCCTGCAGCCCAGATGCTTCAGCACTGGCCAAGGACAGGTCAAGGCACTGCCTCCGTGGGGCGTACATATGGGCAGGGAGACCAGCCCAGACAAGGAAGGAGTGATTGAGGGGTTCCGGGATGGCAGGCACTAGGGGTCTGGGTGGGGACTTAAGGACATGGATAGGAGGCCACTGGAGATGACGGGCCATGGGGGATCTTGCAGGACAGGCCACGGGTCTGTGTACCCTGCCTACTCCATGATCCCACAGGAGTTCTGAGAAATGACCGGAATCTATGATTCAGTGTCTCCGTCTGAAGAACCTGGTGTGGTCAAGAGCATGTGTTCAGGAAGCCTGACTCTCTCAGGTGAGGGCTCCCACCTGAGTTCTGCCCCAGGGAGTCAGGCTTCTGCCAGGCATTTGACTTGGGCGGGACGTACCGTGACCACCTTTGACCAGACCACACAGCCTCCTTCTACAAGGTGTTCAGGACCTGGCCCCAACCCCCTCTCAAGCCCCCTGGGCAGCCCTGAAGGGGATTAAGTCCTAGTTTTGCCAGTGAAGAACCTGAGACTCAGAGAGGGAGGTGACTTGCCCAGGGTCACAGAGTATTAGCGGCAGAGCTGGAGTTTAAGCCCAGTCACCATGGCTGCAAAGCCCAAGCTGTTTGTGGCTGGCCACGTTGCCCTGACTGTGTCCTGGAGGGGCAGGTGGCTCCTTCATGCTCTCTGCTTTTCTCCTCTCCTGACATCCTAAACCGCTGGGAAATGGCTGCACTGTATTCCCTTCATCCTGCCTAATCCTGCAGGACCTTCTGAGCATCCAAAGTGGCCAGCCCTGATCTAGTGTTCCAAGATGTGCTGTGTCACGCCTTGGTGGTGCTGGAAGAGTTTTAGAATTCTAACTGTAACTGTCTATAGCACTAAATTAAAATAAGTCACCCCTGCAGTTACATGTTGCTGAGAAGCAAACCACCTTTAAACTTAGTGACTCAAAAACACGGACATTCATTTTGTTTGCAAAGGTACAGTTTGCCCAGAGCTCAGTGGGGAAGCTCCTCCCTGCTCTAATGGCATCTGCTAAGAACTAGAGGACCTGCTCGGGGCTGGCCAGGGACCCAGAACCTTGGTTTCTCCTTCAGCTGTCCAAGTGGCTGCTTGGGCTTCCTCACAGCATGGCGGATGGGTTCTGAGAAGATTTTTATGATCTTGCCTCTGAAAACCAGAAGCAGCACTTCCTCTGATATTCCCGTGGCCTCAGCAGTCCCAGAGGACCCCCAGGTTCTAGGAGAGAGGGCTCACAGACAGGGCTCACCATGTGAGCAACAAGAGAACCCGGGAAGGGAGGTTCTCCTGAGGCCACCTTGGGAAAGTGCAGTCCACAAGAAAATTCATTTCTGAGCCCTGCTGGTCCATTCTGGTACAGCGAGGAGAAAGTCTCAGACAGACACTAGTCTACCTTAGAACATCTGACTTGGTTTCCCTTTGGTCAAGAGAGCAGGCATGCTGTGCTCCATGGCGCACGCCTGTCATCCCAGCAGCTCAGGAGGCTGAGGCAGGAGGATCCCGAGTTCAAAGCCAGCCTCAGCAAAAGCAAGGCGCTAAGCAGCTCAGTGAGACCCTGTCTCTAAATAAAATACACAAAATAGGGCTGGAGTGTGGCTCAGTGGTTGAGTGCCCCCGAGTTCAATCCCCAGTACTCAAAAAAAGCAGGCATAATTTAATAAAATGCTTTCTTTCTCGTTCTCTTCATGATCATCTTATTGATTGTAAGAAATTCTGGGTTTCTAGTCATAGTATTGATATGAGGCTTCCTTTTTAAATAAACTTGTTTTAGTAAAACACAAATGCTTAAGGAGAGAATTAGCACAAGCTGTTTTGCTGCTGGGAATTTGTTCTCATGTGCATGTTAATAAAATATTCCTTCAATTGATGGAGCAAAAGCCTGGAAACCATCCTCAGTTAGGAGTCATGGGAGTCACCCTCACTGTGAAAGGTCTCTGTCCTTTGTCATCTGGACACATGGTTCAGTGGCATAAGCTCAGTGTAGACGGTGCATGTGAACGGTAGGGCAGGACATAGCCACATGAGCCACTGGGAATGCACAGGGGGTGGATGACAAGAAATCTGCACATGGTTGTCTCTGGGGAGGGGGACGCAGAAGATTTATCGCCCCTGCAAAAAAACAAAAAAAAGTTTTACGCCTTTTAAAATGGGAACATACAATACGCTATGTAGTCATATTAGTAAGTTTACTATTTCCTAAAGAAGTAAAATAGTGAATTTTCTCCGCCCTCAAATAAATAAAAGGCAGCACTTAGGAGTAGCGGCTGCGGCCACCTTGCCTGGAGCAGAACTTTGCTGGGAGGTGTACCACGCGTCAGGGTCACGTGGATGTGTCTGCCCGGCCACCTGCTCTGTCTCCTCTCCAGAGCAGCCCTACCAATGGGAACCGGAAACTCGGGGCCAGTCCTCACGCTCAGTGTCATGTTGCCTAGTGCGTGGGGAGCCCAGGGCAGCTTGACCCGCACTGTGTGGGTCGGATTGGACCCCACATCTCATCTCCCAGGACTGGCTGTTTGGGAGACCCACGGCTGTGCACCAGGGGGTCATCCGAGAGCCTCTTGCTCTCACCTGCCTCTCCTTGAGCAGCTGCTTCCTTGGGGATCAGCCTGGGGGTCCTGCTCGCCCGCAGCTGGGCCCAGGGATACTCTCCTTCTCTGATTGGGCCCTAGAAGGACCTCAAACCCTTTCTGTCAGGATGCAGAGAAATTTGCTTTTTTTCTTTATTCAGTGTTAAGGGTGCAGGTAGCACGTCCGTTTCCCCTCTGGAAACTCAGAACATTGCGTATAAACTAAAGCCACCTTGCCTCTTGCTGTTGCCACTCAGCACTGATTTTTGAGACTTGGTTGGCCTGTGCACATGTCTGGAGAGCTGACCCGTTCCTGGCTGTCGCCACCGCCTTACCTCCAATAACAATCCGTTGTGTTCAGGCTGTCCCTTAGGGCTGAACACTTGGGTCTTTAGGACCCCAGAGCTGCTCACAGCATCCCCGGGCACATCTCTTGCCCCACACCTTTGAGCACTTTTCTTGGGAACATACCAACTGCCAGGTCATAGCATGTGAAACTTTCAGTTTTTTTAATAAATAATGCCGATTTGCCCTTCAAAATGCCTGAGTTCGTTTATTCTCCCACCAGCAGCCTTTGAGAATGCCAGTCTCTCTGTGTCCTCTGTAACACCTGACGTTATCAAGCCTTTTTATGTTGAGTGAGAAGAAGGTGGCGCCTTGATTTGGTGTGGTGTTGAGAGCCACAACCAAGTCAAGATGGCGCCTGGCATTTTGCCAGAAGGAAGGAGTGGTTGGGAGGTAGCGCCAGCGAGCCGTTAAGATGATGATAATTGAGTTGAGCTGTGTATAACTATTAAGGTGATGACTGATTGCTGTAACTGGAGGATGCTAAGTTGGAACAAGCTGTGTACTCAGTTGTGTATATAAACCCCTGCTGGCCCGCAATAAGGCGGCTCCTGCTACCTCGGGTGCCCGCTCCTTTTGAGTTCTCGCGGAGTTCCCGTTGAGTTTCCGTGGAGTTCCGGTTGAGTTCCCGTGGGGTTCGGGCAATAAAGCAGTCCCTGTTTGAACCTACAAGTGGCTCGTGACCGCCCGGTGATTTGTGCCCAGCCAGACTGCGGCCGTGTGGTCCCTGACTTCTCCGAGGACAAGCACCCTGTGTGTGAGGGCTACTCTGTCCCTGCTCTGGGAACCCTTTCCGATGGCTGCTTTATCATCTTCTGCTGCTTGTATCCTAGAATGTCTTCCAACAGCTTTGTGCAGTGTCTTTATATGAATTGGAGTGACGCTGTTGGGGGAGGGAGCCAGGAGGTTCGGATAAGCCCCAGATTCTGGAAAGCGGCTTGGGTGGGTGACCAGGCATGCCAGCTGCACTGGCCACTCCTGAATCAGGCAGGGAGGCCCCGGAAGCCACCGTTCACCGTGACAGAAATACCTGCCACCTAGTCCCTCCCGCATGGCCACATCCCTTATGGGATCCTGCATGGTGCTGTCTGACTGCCCCAAAATCCACACCCACATGCAGGAAGGCTTCGGGCGACGGCTGAGCGTGTGGGCACAGTTGGCCTTCAGTCAGCCACTCTCCCTGGGTTCCTCTGGCACCCGGACATCCAGCCACCCGGACACCATCGCCTGTCCCCAGCACTGCGGCCAGGAATGCCCACACCCTGACCTGAAGGGGATGCGTAGGTTCCCTAAAGTGACACCCCAGAGGCCCGCAGATGAGTCCCCCAAAGCCAGCATGTCCTCCCTGTCCCTGAAGGTGGCCTGTGCAGCCAGCGGATGCCCCGCAAGGTGGAAAGCAGAGGCCCCTCCCGCCCCTCACCACCCACGGGGCCTTCCTGCCCGTGGGGACACTGTGTTTTCTAATGACATCTCACCGAGTCCTCCCACTCCCGGGGCTTTGACGGCCCGTGGCATTTCGGAGAGCCCTGCCGCTCCGGGGGTTGGTTCTCCCTTTCTGTTCTGGGTGGGAGGTGGCAGGTCTTCTTTTCCCTGGAGCCCGAGGCAGCTCGGCTTTGTGAGGGAGGCCCGTGGCCTGCTGACAAGCCCCAGTGTCGCTGACCAGATGACTCTCAGTCGGGTCAGTCGGCAGCTGAGAGCGCAGAGCAAAGCTGAGGTGTCCTGCTGGGAGCGGGGAGACGAGAGGAGAAGTGGCAAGAAAAAGCTGCTGTTTTGTTCTGTCTTTAAAATGATTCTCATTGAGAAAATATCTTAAATACTGAGTCCAGACCGTCCACCCTGCCTGCCCGGATCAAGAGGTTTCGTTTTTTAGAATACACAAGATACGGTGTCCAGAGAAAGCAATGATGGGATGGAAGTTCAGGATGAAGTCTCTCTCGAAGTTTCTCAGGGCCTGTGGCTGGGATGGTGGGAAGGGGACGGGTCTCGCCATAGGTCACATGATGCACAAGTCCTGGCAGTTAGCCGGCCGCCGCGGTGCCAGTGTGCGCTGTGGGGACCTGGCTGTCCTGAAGCCAGGGAAAGACTCGGCCTGTAAAAGCTTGGAGGGTGGACTGCAAGCACCCAGGAGCCGAACCGGGGCAGGGACACCCCCAGGAGAGGGTGCTGAGCTGCAGAGAGACTGCCCGGGGCACTTCCTCACTCCTTAGACCAGATGAAAGACCAGGGGCGGGGCGGCGCGGCGGAGAATACCTGAGCCTAAGTTTGTTCTGTGTTTGGGGCTAGAACTCACACCATCTGCACTACCTTCCTCTTTTCCCAAGAAATTTAAGCCAAATATTGGGTCCAAGTATTCCCAAGAACTAACTGGGGTGATGGTGTTCCAACCTGAATGCCGTGCCGTGCCGCGTCTGTGGGCTCCATTCACACCAGACCCTTAAAAGGAGTCGGTGTTGCCATCCATAAATCATCGCTCAAAAAGGCGGTTAAGAAAAACCAGACACACTGCCATTTTGCGAACCAGACTTGCATTAATAGGCTTGCCCTCTGCCCTGGGCTCAGGTTGGTCTGGAGGGACGCCTGGGTGGGCGGGTTTGTTGTTCTCTTGTAGAGCACTGTAATCACACTTCCTATTGGGATCCCTTCTGACAGAATCGCTCCCCTTCGCTCCCTCTATCCTACCCATCACCCTTCCTCTGCTTTTTATCTATTTTTGGCTGCTAATCTGCGCATATCCTTACAGGAGAAATCCCCTTGGCACGTTACGTACGGGGGATACCTTTTGAACATCAAATTTCTATCCTCTTTTTCATCTAGAATCGTGATTTTTTTTCCCATCGTCATTATACATAGTGTAAATGAGTTTGGGGTGTGTTTGGTCGGTTGGTTTGGTCATTTTGGCGATGCTGCCCTGGGGCCAGGGCCAGACACCTGCTGAGCTACACCCGCAGCCCCACGTGTGTATGATTTTTAACTGGAGTTTTTAGTGTATTTCAGAAGAATATCTTGAATACTCTCATTTTGAAATGATTTCAAGTAAAAGAGGGGCACATAGAGCAAAAGTGGAAACTCTCCTTTAATTCATCCCCCCACATATCCTCCCACCCCTAGTTCTCACTTCTCTCCCCACAGGTGACCACCATTCGCCGTCTGCTTAGGCATGATTTTTACATGAGTATATAATTTTCCATCTGGGGAGGAAAAAAATCACAAAAGTTGTTTCCCTGCTTGGGGACATTTTGAGTGTTTCCTGGTTTGACGATCTTTTTTTAAAACGTGTGGTACAGGATTTCCCTGGAGAGAACTCAAAGTAGGTAGTAAGTGCGGCTGTCCTATGTTACTGAGGTGTCTTCAGCACCATCAAGGACAGAACTCAGATGTGGAATTGGGGGATAACTTTCAAGGAGAAGGAGGAAGGGTCCCCACGCACAAGACCCCAGGCCAAGTGATCTTCCCATCTGTCCTCCTCGACTGCAGCAAACATCTCAGATAAGGACATTCTTCCATGCCCAGGGTCCTGCGCCCTCTAGTGCAGAGCTTGGCACTGAGTTGCCAGACACCAAGTTGTGGACTTCATGGTGCTGTTGCAGAGAGCAAGAGACTCTTCCTGTGTGATCTTGGTGACACCATCTCAGACTGCCATTCTAGGTCCATGGGAGGTGCTGCAGTGCCCTGGGTTGCTTGGCTCGCGCTCTTGGGACCTTGTCTTTGCCGTGCTGGGCATGGAACCCAGAGCCCGCACGTGCCACGCAGCTCCTCTACCGCCAGCTGCCTCCTCAGCCCCAGCTCTTGGTTATTTTAAGCCGCAGTTCGAGTACTCGACACACAGTGAACTTTGGACTAAGGGTTGGTCCCAACAGATAGTGCTTTGAGGCCATGTGCCTTGTGGCCGTTTTTTTTTGAGACGAGGAATCTGAGGCCCAGAGAGGAAGAGGAACTTGCGCTGCATGACTGGCTGAGGAGGGTCTTAGACCAGTCCCGAGGGGCTCCAGGCCTTCCAAGCTCTGCTTCCTGGCAGAACGAGAGACAGCTGGGGGGTCCTCCCAGGCCGGCAGCCAGACACGCACTCATTCTTCTCTCTGCTCGCTCTTCCCAGATAACAGTGACTTGATCGCGTGCACAGTGATCACCAAGGACGGTGGCATGGTCCAGAGATTCCTGGCTGTCGACATTTACCAGATGAGTTTGGTGGAGCCTGATGTGTCCCGGCTTGGCTGGGGAGTGGTCAAGTTCGCAGGCCTTCTGCAGGTAAGATGACCAAAAATTCTGGAATCGCTTCCAAGTTCCCTGCACAGACCCACATACCCAGTTATCATCTTTGTAGACCATTTCGAACCATGCAAGGAGGGTGTGAACAAATTGTCCGTGGAGAAAGCTAAGACTTTGCACAGATAAGGGCCAAGTCCTCTTTGACCAAAACCCACACCCCTCTCCCCTGCAAGAGATAACCTCCATTATCAGACTGATGCTTGCAGATCTATTTCTGTGCCAAATGTGCATAATGACACATACCAGTTTTTAGAATCGTGTCTGGTCAGCCCTCTGTATGTGCATCTGCATCTTCAACCAACTGTAGATAAAAAAAAAAAAAGTCTTTGAAAAAGATGGCATCTGAACTGAACATACATACTTTCTTCTTATCATTATTTTCTAAGCAGCATTTACATTGCATGAGGTGTTCTGAGTGATCCAGAGATGATTTAAAGTGGAGGGGAGGACGTGTCCATGATATGCTCTCTGCTCCAGTCCTCTGTACGTAAGGGACATGGGCACCTGCAGATTCTGGTATCCTCGGGGTCCTGAAACGATCCCTTGTGGGCCCCAAAGGGTGACTGTACATATATTTCAGAGTAGGTGTTTTTTGGTGTCTCATGGAACATATTGCCAACTCTGCCTTCTTCACTCAGTGGTGTCCCTCAGCGAGCCCGCCATGTCAGAGCATGCGCACCTGCTGGTTTTCTCTAGCTGCCGCGGGACTGGACCAGGCATGCTGAGCCAGGGCTCTGTTTTACCTTTCCAGCAGTGCGCCTTGAGCGGAATTGGTCTCACTTCCGGGTGCACTTGGTCACGATTTCCCTAGGCAGATAACTGAGACGTGGCATGTGCCTGTTTTAAGTGTTGAGAGACCCTGCCAACTTCCTCCCTTAGTGATCTTTGCCACCAGAACTCTATGAGGATTCCCTTCCGCTCGCCCCGACTCCAGCGCGGAAAGGCTCTGAATCGCCTCGCACCAAGTGGGAGCTGTTTGTCGATAAGAGACGGCCAGTGCCATCTTCTTTGTTGAGTGAAACAAAGAACCGGAGGCTCAGGAGCAGCCTGGCCACTCACACCTGTCACCCCCCCCCCTTTCGCTTTCAACAAGACTCGCATGTAAGACCTTGTCCATTGGGCGACCTAGGCTTTTTATATCTAGGCTTATGACCCATGTCCTTTAGAATTTACGTCAGGAGACTGTTTCCTCCCCTGAAGGACTCAGACGTGTCCTCCCTCAGACAGTGAGGCCACACAGCCTTTTCTTTGGGTCGCCGTCCGGAGGCTGCTCTTGGTCAGGTCGTGCCTCTGTGAGGCCTTGCTCTCTGCTCCAGTCTGCAGGGACCCGCACCAGGTGTAACCCCCTCCTCCAGGAGCCTGTCCACGCCTCCCACCCTCTCTGGCATTGCTGGCCTTTGTGTCTGTCTGTCTGCCGGGTGACATCACCACCGAGCCGCAGGCACCAGGCTCCCCGCGGGCACCGTTCTGAGGTTTGGGATTGGAGGAGCCTCCTCCTTGCCCCTGGCTCCACGGCAGTCTCTCTACCTCCATGTACAGTGTCTTAAGATCTCGCTGAATGGCCTTCCCTGCCCCTTCCTTAGGAAACAGAAGGTCCTCAAAGACATAAAAAGGACACACAGTATCCTGTTGTTAAGAGAAGCTAGGAGACAGATGAGCACACCTAAGGTCAAGCCCCATAGAGGTGGGATCGCGTAGCCATCTCTGGTTTCTCAGCAGGAACAATTGTTGAAGTTGCCTGTTGAGTGACAGGTGGCCCTTGAAGAAGCTAGTGAGCCCTTTTATTTGCCAGGCATCGAAATCCTCATGGAAATGGGTGCCAGCCACCACACCCAACACTGGCCACTGTGCGTCGCTCCCTGCCTTCTTCCCCGGGCCTGGTTGGTTTGTGCCCACCCCCAACTTTGTCAGACTGGGGAGGCATAAGCAGAGATGACTGGGGGGATCCTGGATCCCACAGGACCGGCAGATGCCCCCCACCTGAAACCTGATGCGCACCTCTGCCTCCTGGCTCTGCAGGACATGCAGGTGACTGGCGAGTACGACGACAGCCGCGCCCTGAACATCACCATCCACAAGCCCACCTCCAGCCCCCACTCCAAGCCCTTCCCCATCCTCCAGGCCACCTTCGTCTTCTCGGACCACATCCGCTGCATCATCGCCAAGCAGCGCCTGGCCGTGGGGCGCATCCAGGCCAGGCGCATGAAGATGCAGAGGATAGCGGGTGAGTGCCGTGGGCGGGCTGTCCTCTGGGCCTCCCAGGGCGGAGCAGCCACAGGGCTGCCACTGTGCTTCTCACAGTGACCTGGAGAAACCCAGGCTCCTGGAGAGGGGGACACGTGCTCGGGCTCACGGTGCTCCACGGGGGATGGAGGCTTTGCACGGAAATGCCCACTTCCGAAGTGCTTGGTCACCTGAGAGTTTCTAGGGCCACGTTGGAGAGAAGGGGATCCCTCCCTGGCAGGCCAGAGGCCGGAAGAGGCAGGCAGTGTGTGACAGGTGTTCTCGCTCCTCCACTGACTGACACGGGATACCTGAACCTTCCGGTACCACCTTGAGCCTTAAAAAAACCTTCCACTTATGGGGCTCGTGACCCGCTTTACAGAGGAGGAAACTGGGGCTCAGCCACTTGCCAGTCACCCAGAGAGCCAGTTGGCAGGACCCAAAGGCTGAACTCCCCCCTCTGCCTCCCCTCTGCCTCCTCGCTTCCCGCGGAGCTCCCCTCCCCGGCCCCACCCAGCCCTGAATTCAGATGAGGCTTGGCGTGTCTCAGGTAAAGTGGGGAATCTGCTAGGAAACCAAGCACCATGCTGTCAGGGAGGCCCAGCTGTCTTGGGGAAGGCAGGGCCTGGGTGTCCTGTTGGGTCATGAGTGGAAGCCAGGCGTAGCCATCCTTGGTGAGCAGGAGAAGGTGGTGTCCTGTCAGCTCCCCAAACCAGGCACAGCCTCTCTCAAGGTACCCAGTACCTCTGGACAGCTCAGGCTGGGCCGGCCCTGGCGTGGCTGCTGGGGAATGTCCAGCCCGAGGTGGGGTGGGGCGCTTTCTCAAGGGCTAACCTAAAAATAAACCCGTGGAGGGTGGTTCTGGGCGTTGCTGGCTGGGGTATTTGCTGTGCGTGCCTCCTGGTTGGCACCGCCTGCCTCCCGGGGAGACCCCCATCTTGTTCTCACTTAGCTGCAGCCTGGCCTGCGATTCATTACAGAAGCATTCTGTGATGTGCAAAGTGACTCAGAGCATTCAGACTTTTCTTCAAGATTTATTTTCAGAGTTTTTTTTTTTTTTTTTTTTAATGTAAAGCAGTTTCTCGCAGCGGGCATGAAGGCCAAATATTTCATTTGAAAATGGAGAATTATGCTGCAAAGTGGCTGTTGGAACCAGCGCCTTGGGTGTTTCTAAAATTGGTTTTAAAACGCCCCTCTGAGGTGATATATCAGGTAGCTGTTTATGGGGAGGAGGGTGACAGCGCTGACACGCAGAGTCCCGTGACTGCTCTCCGTCACACACTGTCCGGGCACAGTCCGCCCTGCACAGCGGTGGATCCCACATCCGTGGCTTCAGCTAACCAGGGATTGAAATATTCAGGGGAAAAAAAAAAAACGTGTTGAACCTGGGCACATTTTTTCCCTGTCGTTATTCCCTAAATGCAGCATAACACTCTATGCATCGGGCTTCCATCATGTTGAGGGTAAGTCACCCGAGGAATGACTGGTGTAGGTCCTGTGCAAACACCACGCCACTTTACATAAGGCCCCAAGCACCCACAGAGCTGGGCCTGGGGCTCCCAGAGCCGATCCCTTCAGGCTCTGCGAGCCTTTCGCTCATCTCTGCACAGACATAGGAGCTTTCAGAGCAGGGTCGGCCCTATTTGCTTTAAGGTTGAAATGGCAGCAGACGCTAGCCACAGTAGAACTGGCTAGCGTCCTCTCCACCTGAAGATCAGGCGTAGAAGCCTCTCTTCTTGGTTTCAACCTTCGCCTGAAGCCCTCATCCGATGCCCAGTTGGACTCTTCAGTGTAGTTGGTGCCAGCTCAAGGCTGCCTGTTTGGCATCTCCAAGGGCCATGGCTGGCAGAGCCACAGCTCCTGCAGCCCACTCTCCGTCCAGTCTCGCCTGCCTTTTCCCCTCCGTATGGTAGGAATGAACTGTGTGCTGTTTGGTTACAGCCCTCCTGGACCTCCCGATCCAGCCAAGAACCGAAGTCCTGGGGTTTGGACTTGGCTCCTCCGCCTCCACCCAGCACCTGCCTTTCCGCTTCTATGAGCAGTGTCGCAGGGGCAGCAGCGACCCCACCGTGCAGCGCTCTGTGTTTGCATCTGTGGACAAGGTGCCGGGTAAGAACCCTCCCTGTGGGAGTTGGAGGGCCTTCTCAGCGGGGCCTTTGTGAGCCCCCTCCCTCTCTCAGAATCCAGGGTCTTGACGTGCCGGGTGACACAGCTTCCCAGGCTGCGTCAGAGCATGGCCCCGTTCAACACAAGCCCAGGAGCCAGTCTTGGCTCTCCCGTGGGTATTCTGCGCCTTGGTTTGGTTTTCCAGAGATTTGTTGGGTGTGTGGAGAGACTTCTCAGAACTAAGACTAAGAAGTTTCTTGGAAGTTTCTTGGAAATACTTGAGTCACTAGTAACGAGGCTATGGGAGAGGAATTTCCTCCTCCACGAACCATGACTGAGGAGACTGTGCAGTCCCTAGCGTGCCCCGAGAAGCGAGCCCTGGGAAAGGGCTCTGCCGCCCACAGGCTGCGTCCCCCGTCCAGGAGCAGCTCTTTCCACTTTCTCCAGAGCCGGCGCGCTGGCCACCTTCTGCCCTCCCAACAAAAGGGAAGTGTGAGTGGAGAGTTCAAGGCCGCTCTGGCAGAGCAGAAAGGACTGCTTCTCCCGAAGAGTGGCGCTCCTTCCTGTTCCCATGTGCGGGCTTTAAGTAACTCCATGTGCGCTGGAGCCCTCTGTCCCTCGAAAGAGCCCTTGTCTCCGTTACAGAATTCAGAAAAGTGGCACGCTCCCTAGCCACCGAGCCCCGTCTGTGTTCGAGGTTTGAACTTGAATTGCATGGGTTATGAAATGTCCTCAAAAAACAGATTTAAGAACAAAGTGCAACCATGAGAACCCACCCCAAATCCAGGGGATCAGATTCTATATTTGATTTTGTATGTTTCCTGTGTATGTGTATGTTGCACAGAAATGATTTTCAAAAATCAGACAAGACGTGATGAGATGAAAAATGAGTCATCTTTGCTCCCGAGTAACCACTGTTGATTTCTCGCATATCCTTCTGGAAATGTTTACTTGTGTGTGATATGTATGCTTTTGTGAGTTAGTTTTCGCACACGGGTTCCACCATGCGTGTGATTGTGCACCTCTGCTCTTCACACTCAGTGCCAAGTCAGTGTCACACATTAGCACACAGACTCGGGTTCCTGGTCATTAACTGCCCGTGGTGTTCTGTTGAAGGGATGAACAAAACATCTTTTGTAACCATGTCATATTGATGGACATTTGGGTCATTTCCAGGGCTTTGCTCTCACAGTGTCACAGTGAACCTCCTTGAGACGTCTTTGTGTAACTGCACATCTCCCACGTCTGAGGATGAATTCCCAGCAGTAGGTCTGCCAAATCAGAAGGCAAGGCTTTTAATCTTGATAGATATGATCCCAACGTGAACTCTAGGGAAAAAATGCCCCCGTTCCCTGTGCCACCCACAGCCTGTGACTATTGCACTCTGAAAAACCAGCCCGGCCTTGCAGTGGGCGGCCGCCCTGCCTGTCCTCAGCTAGGAATGCGAAGCCATGCTGCCGATCCAGGGGGCCATCCAGGTGCCATCCAGGGGGCCATCCAGGGTGCGGAGGGCTCCTTGTTCAGGGCTGTAGACAGTTGCTCACTGGATATAAACCACGCTGTGAGTCAAAGTTAACTAAATTCAGGTGGGTCCCCGGAGAACTTCTTTCTTTGGGTGATCCGGTTTCTTTCAGTACCAGAACTTATTGGTGAAGGAGAAAAACTAGGACCCCACCGCGCCCTTTTCAAATGAGGTAGAATGTGAAAAAGAAGACGCAGGGGTGCCGTCCACCAGCCTGCGGGATCGTTCCAGTTTGCAGAGTGCTCTATGGTGACCTCTGTGCAGCTCTCCATTCCCTGGGCTTCAGGGCAGGTGGGAGATCAGGTGCTGGGAGAGTGGCCTGGCCTCCAGGCAGGGGTGGGTGGGACATCCTGGATGCTGAGTGTTGTGTTGCTCGCCCCCAGGCTGTGAGACTGCAGGCTGTCGCTGGTAGCTAAGGAAGGTGACCGTTTCCACCCTCGCCTGGGTCTCTTTCCTGACTCCCCTGATGTGCCACTGAGGAGGGGGGAAGGGGCGTTATTTTATGTCTCCCTCTGAGAGAGGCCTCACTGCCCTCCTCCGGTGCCGTAGCATGGCCCTCGAGTGCAGTTCAGAGAGCACACAGGGGTGCACACAGAGAGCCCGGGCCTGCGTCCCCCATCACCCCCACTTGTAGTCTCCCCGCCCTCTGCATTCAGCCAGCTGGGTCTTTCCAGAATGGAGCTCAGGCCACGCCCTCCCCAGCCTCCCAGGGCTTCTCATTGCACCAGGACAAACCTCACCTCTCCCTCGGATCTGGTGTGGTCACCACGGGGTGCAGCCCCAGCTGGCTCCTGCCACAAAGCTGCCCCCACTCGGCCCACACCTTCAGTCTCCCCCTCTGGCTGGCCGCAGCAGCCCCCACTGGTGCTCAGGTCGGCCTTCCTCACCACTTGGCCCTGGAGTCCCTCGTGCTCTTCAGAAGGGCATAGCCCTAGTTCCCATGGGGATGGGTTATAGCATCAACGTCCATAGCATTCGAAATTAAGGCTGAGAAATGCGTTCAGTGATTACTTAATAAATCCCTGGTATGCAAACACAAATAAGTCTACTGTAGGTGAACATTCCATCAACAATGACTCTGTTTCCAAAACAGAGATTGCTTGACATTTTGGGTCCCTTTGTCTGACCTAACAGCTCACCTCTGGATTCTCCCATCTGCCTCTGCTCCTGGGATGGCACACATTGTGTGCCCCCTGGGAACGCGACTCTGAAGGGCAGATGATGTCCTACTGTTTCCAGGACAACCAGGATCCCAGGCACATGCTGAGAAGCCCTGTCACCCTCCCTGGGCCCGGTCCTGCCTCAGGACCTTCCACTGGATGCTCTTGCCTAGGTCTTGGGTGCTGCAGCCGCCTCCTGCTCCAGAGGCCTTTTTGACGACCCCCCCCCCCCTTACTAGGGTTTCGCCCTCTCCTCCATCCCATAGCCTGGTCATTTCCATTTCCGTGGCACTGCGGTTCCTACCTGTCTGTGACCTTTCTCCCCCATGGAGACGCCGTTGCCTGGGGCCACAGCCTGCACCTTCTCTTGTCTGCTGCACCTTAGCCCCTTGCAGTGCGGCTCCCTGTGGAGTTCTTTACTGATTCTCTGCACAACCTTGGGGCAGTCCCCTCCTTCCTGAGAACTGCCTTGTCTTTCTGGTGTTCCATCTGGGACCCTAGACATTGGATGGTTTAGTCTGTGACACTGTGACACGGGAACGTGAGACACTGAGACCCAGAAGATCTTAGTAGCATTCTTCCGTATGATTTCTCTCTCGGGGGAGCGCGACGTGTGTCGGGGCAGGTGCGGCCCGGTGGCAGGGGGGCAGGCTGCTCGCTGCTGGATCTTGCTGTCCTGCCCGTGAGCAGGAGAGTAGGGCAAGAGGGGGAGCAGGGGAGGCTGGGAGGGCTGGTCCTCAGAGCCTGGCCTGGTGAGCCCCCAGTGGGGCAGCTTCTGCAACCGCCGTGGGGACTGAGGGTCTCGCGGGACCCCTTCACCTTCTGCAGTGGTGTCCTTGCCATAGACTGCAACCCCTGGCTGGCGGTGTGGGGCCATTGCTTCTGTCTGGGCGGTAAGTAGCAAAAGAGAAAACAGTCTGGCCACATCTCAGGTGACTTGTAGCAGGGCTTGCTTTAGGACACGTCTTCTGGTAATTGTCCCAGAGCAGTCTGTCTCTCCTTTAGAAGCTGTGAAGGATGTATTTGATGAAAGCGTACCTTTCACTTCCTCGGGGAGAACTCGTGGGTGGCTGATGGCCACTTGGGTGCCTCTCGGCTTCCGTTTGGCTCCGTAGGACAGCACGGGTTCCACCCTCTGGCTGTTGTGTGCTCTGGTTCTTGCCCCCGGACTGTGGGGCCCTGGGGAGGGAGAGGCTTGTGCGTGCACCTGCCCAGGATGGGGAGGACCCGTGGTAGCCGTGAGGGGACAGACAGGGGCTTCCAGGTCTCGACCCTGGCATGAGCTGTGTCTGTCCCCTCATGGACGCACCACGGTGCCAGCTGCTTTCCAGAACCTGCTGTGGTCGGGAGGGCACGCGAGCTAGCCCACTGCTGCTCTCGCCATGCACACCAGGAGCGCCCACCGCCAGGGAGACCCCAGAGCAGAGGCTGTTCCCCAGAAGTGACCCTGGCTCTCCCAGGAAGAGGGGACAGAAGAGGCCCTTGGAGGCCAGGGCTCTGGCCTCCAGAGCAGTGCATCCCTTCCTCCTGGCCCCTCTGGAGGCCGGGGCCAGGCTGCTTATAGATGAGTGGGTGGCAGTGGGACAGAGTGGCACCCAGAGCTCACAGAGCAGAGCCACAGGCGGGCGACCTCCATCGTGCAGCTCAGTGGTCGAGCACTTGTCTAGCATCCATGAGGCCCTGGGTTTGGCCCCAGCACAGCAAAAACAAAGTACCTCCAGTGCTTCCGCCCCCAGCCCTCTCAGTGCCCACGTCCCTGCCCCGGGGTGGGCTCGGAGCTCGCTCCCTGAGCTCTGCAGGCGACACAGCCCAGCCCGTCCGCCACGAAGCCTCTCTCTCGGGGCCTCCCCGGGCCAGGCGCATCCCATTTCAGGGCCTCTGTCCTCGGGCCCCCTCTGCCCAGAGCCCTCCTCACTCAGGGCTCACTCCCACACCTCTGGCCTTCCCAAGCCCCGGCCTAGCTGGTCCCTCTCTGCAGGGCAGCTAGTGTCCATTTCTGAAACCAAGACAGTGTTCACGTTGCATAAAAGGAGCCATTCAAAGGTGGGCAGCTCCAGCATTTCACGGCCATGAGCACCCCACTGGTTCCAAAGCCCCCAACATAAGATGCCACAGGTGCGCAGCAGTCCCTCCCATCACCTCCTCTCGCAGCCCCTGCAGCCACGGGCTCTTTCCGTCTCTGTCACTGTTACCTGTCCTGGACATTTCCACGCATCCTACGACATGCCGCCCTCTGTGGCTGCTGCTTCCAGTCCACACAGTGTCCCCGGGGCTTGTCCGAGCTGTCGCCTGTGTCAAACCTGCGTCCCTGTCTGAGCTGAGTGAGCTGCATTGGATGGCTAGGCCACGCCGTGTTTATTTGCTCCCCGTCTGTGGACACCTGGGTCACTTCCACCATCTGGCTGCGCGAACAGTGCCAGTGAACACCCCGTCCAGGTTTCGTTTGAACACCTGTCTGCAGTTCTTGGGGCATGCATCTCGGGAGGAAGCCAAGCCAGGTGCTCATTTAAAGTTCTGAGGACTGCCAGACTGACCTCCACGGTTTTTGTAGCCCGTACCTTTAGCTGAGACTGTCTTACTTACTCTCCTCTTGGCTGCCACTATCCTGTGCTAGAATAGAAGCCACCCAGGAGAGGGGCCACCCTGCCTCGTCCCCAGCAGTACTGACACTTGGGAAGTCGTGCTCAGGGGTGGGTGGGAGGCTGGGGCGGAGGCAGATAAGCGCATGAGCCCAGCAGACTGCCCCCCCCCGTGGCACAGGTGTTTCTGTCTCTCTCAGGCCGGTCCCTGGCACCAGCTGGCAGTGGTTGAGGGTGCCGGCAGGAGAGCTGGCCTTGGTGCCGTCAGGGCCAAGCTCTGCTTTCCTGGCTTCCTGTCCCGGCTTCCTGCTGGTTGGGGACCTGCCTGTCGGTGGCAGCTTTTAAAGCCCCTGACTATCTGGGGTGCGTGTGCTTCTCGGAGGCGTTATCTTCGTCAAAGGTGAACAGACCTGCTCTATCAGTGCCCGGCCCAGAACACTCAGAGCTCTGTGGAAGAGCCTGGTGCAGTCCCAGGGCAGCCTCGGGCAGCTGCCGAGCTGAGCAGGAACACCCAGATGGCAGCCAGTGCTGCCAGGAGCCGGCTGAGCTGACCGCGGAGCGTGGCCCTGACATCCAGAGAGGGAAGAAGGGAAATCGATGTTTAATCCACAGACACCAGCCTGACCCCCGCCCCCGGGCACTGACTGGGTGCCAGTGTCAGCTTGTGGTGCTGCTTCCCAGAAACAGGTTTTTTAGGCCTGTTATCTTTCTTCTTTCCGATTATAAAACTAGAACCAATTCTCCTTCCAGCTCCCCCAGGCAAAAACACCCTTTCTGTAGTCACACAGGAAGGAGGCCTGCTCCCGCAGCTTCTGACCCCACTGACCCCCTGCTCAGGGCTCTGGAGCTGGTCAGTGAGTCCCAGAAACTGGACTCCCCCCCGGGGCCTGATTTCTTGCTTAAGTGTACTGAGCTGCTGAGCACTGTCTGCATCATTCTCCTCCAATCAACCCTTTTCTGTGCAAGGAAGCGACCTTCCCAAGGTCACACCACATGCCCCCCCTCCGCCCATTGAGGCTGGAGCTCAAGTGTGCCCGGGTCAGACCCCAGGCCCCGCCCCACGAGCCAGCCGGCTCCAGCTGGAGGCCTGTTCCTCGAGTCTGGGGCTGTGACCAGAAGGACTGACTGCTGGGCGTCGCTGTGCACCACCCCACCGCTCGGCAGCTCTTGGACCTGACATCCCCTGCGCTGCTCTTCAGACAGGAAACTGAGGCTCAGACCACGGCCCCCGAGCTCACCCAAGGCAGGGTGAAGTCGGCAGCTGCAGTTCGTGCTTACACCCCATTTCCTGCCAAGCTGCCATGGGGATTGACTGAGCTACTTCCCATGGTGCTCTGACCGGAGGCCAGCGTGATGGACCCTTTTTAGAGAAGGCCTCAGGGTGACCCTACCCCAGACAGAGTGTTCCCCTATCTTCTGTGCCCTACCCGAGTCCTTCGAGACCTGCCTCTGATGGGTCAGGGACAAACCTGCAAAGTTGTGGTTCCAGGGTCTTCTCCCCTGAGACCACCACTCCCAAACCAGGCCGGCGGCTGGAGCAGCAGAGGCCCGCCCTCTCCTACCCCTGATGGGGACAAGAAGCAGAGGTGGGCTTCAGACTCCCGCCTTGGCAGCTCCTCTCCCAGATTTCTGGCTCTCAGACCCAAGAGGTCAGCTTCAGGGGGTCAAGTTGGGTTTTGGGGACCAGACTCCACTCAAAAGTGAGCCTGAGGGCTGGAGCCGTGGCTCAGCGGTAGAGCTCTCGCCTGGCCTGTGCGGGCGCTGGGTCCGGTCCTCAGCACCACGTAAATATGAATCAAGGGGTTCCTTATGGGGCTCCCAAGGCAGTCATGGAGAGAAAGCCTGGGGAGGCCCAGAGCAGGGCACACGGCCAGCAAGGACATGGTCTCCGCAGGACCCTCAAGGTCCCTCACTTGCAACGTGCCACAGGGACACGCTCTCCCGGCAGCCACATGGCAGTGACCATGGAGCCTGTCCTGGGAATGCTAGCCACACAGCCACACGCCCCAGGCACCTTTGGGAGGTGGGGGGAAGAGTTCCCAAGAACTGAGTGCCGCTCCACTCCCAGGGTCATCACTACTTAGACCTCCAAAGTGGCTCTTGCCCTGGAGCCTCCTGGTGGTGACAGCAGGGGACACTCCTTGCTCGCTCATGGACAGGAGTAGGTCTGTAGAGCCCTTGCTGGGAGTGTGGGAGGACACCAGGCCCGTCCTCCATCCACATTTGACCTTGGCTCTGCCTTGGCACGGTCTGCAGACTCGGTAGGCCTGTCGCGGGGCGCCCTGTGCCAGCATCGCTGGCCCAGCAGCGGCTCACGCGGCATGTGCTCACCGGAGCCCTGGAGCCAGGCAGTCTGGCTCAGGTCCCAGCTTCCTGCTCCCACCGTACCCTGTCGCATGGCCTTGAACCTCAGTTAGTTCCCGTCAAAGACGGGGAGAGCGCGCCCCGTGTGAGCACGCTCAGCCTCCAGAACGGCACCTTCACAGTGGGAGGCAGCAAGCGCGACGGTACGTGGGCTTTATCACAATTGAAAAAAAGAAGCGGCTGGAAGTGCCGATGGGCTCTCGTGCACACAGAGTGAGTTCCCCGACCGCTGTGCCCAGAATGGCCTGGCACACACCAGCTGCACGGTAGAAGGGCACTGCTCTCAGCGTCCCTTGTTCCTTAAGGCCAACCCTCAGGGCTCCAGAGGATGGGTTCAAGGCCCAGCTGCAGCACAGAGAGCAGGGAGAACCCTCCTCCTCACACGGCAGAGAAGCGGACCCACTGAGGTCCTGTCGCCTGCAGAGGAGCAGAGGCTGCCTCCCGGCACACTCACCCTCAACCCTAGGGACACACTGCCCTCTGCGGCCAGGCACTCCCCCGAGCCTGCCGCAGCTCTGGGAGGCCAGTGTCGTTCCTCAGTCTGCAGCTCAGGAGACCTGTGCTCAGGGGAGGGGTCACGTGGCCAAGTGGCACACAGCCCGTGGTGGTCTGCCTGGGGTCCAGGCCAGGGCATCTGCTCCTGCTCCGTGGACTGCTCTTGTCCAGTTGTAAAGGTTTTTCGGTGGCAGAACACCTGGGATCGGATGTGCTCTGGGAACCCCCCTGAGCTTCCAGGTCGGAGCAGAGAAGCCCGCCTCTACCTTGGGAAACCTCTGTGGCGCCGTCCGCCTCGTGTGTGGTGTCTGTTTTCACTGTGCTCTAGCGCAGGCCTCACGAGCAGGTGCGCGGCAGTTTATACCTCGATCTGATTCTTACCCCAGACCGCCTCGGACTGGGCTGGGGCCACAGGGTGCCCTCTGGACGCAGGTTTGACAGCCGCTTGACCACTTCCCCAGAACCAGGCACATTCCCCCCTTGAGAGCCAGGAGAATCTGATGTCACGTCAGCGGGGCAGCTGGAAGGAAGCTGTGACTCACAAGACCTCGTTGAGGACGAGAGAAAGCGAGGCAGAGGTGTGACGCTGACGGCGCCCGCCCGGTGGAGAGGCAGGAGCCATCGCCCCCCCCTCCCTCTCAAAGCACGGCAGCTCCGGGGCCAGGGCAGGGCCCCCTGGGAGTGAGCGGGAGGGGAGGAAGCAGCTGGGCTCAGAGGAGCTTTACGTTTCCAGGGAACTCATGAGACCAAACACTGACCAGGGTCAGGAGGGGAGATCGGCAGAGTGAGCCGTCTGCACCCCACTTGATGCTGCGGAGACTGGGGGCGGGCTGGCTTGGACGCAGGTCAGAGCCAGGCGGCAAGTGTCAGCAGCGCTCCCTCCGAGGGGCTGCCTGGCGCAGGGGACTGGCGTGTGCAGAGGCCAGGCCCAGGCAGGAGGCGCGGCTAGCAGGAGAGCTGGGCAGGGCAGGGGCCGAAGGCTCTGGGAGCAGCCAGAGGCCGCTGGAGGTCCTCAGACAGCCCCCAGGAAGGATGCGTGGGGACGTGGGCAGCAGTGCGCGTGGTTTTGAGGGCTGGAGCTGGGCAGGGCAGGGAGGAGGGCGGCGACGCTGGGCCTCCTTGTGGATGAGAAAAGGTCTCCCTGGAGAGCCCCCCTGCGGTCCGTGAGCTTCCCTCTGCTACGTCTGGGCACACTGGACTTCCACAGCAGGATGACGTTGCTGTGTAAAACCTGAAGTGACCTCTCTCCTCACTCCACAGCCTGCCGTGGAGGCCCTCCTCTTCCCAGCTCCTGAGAACACCGTCTTTCGGTTCTGACTGTGCCGTCAACCCTCTGGGCAAACCACTGTGTACTTGGCCAGTCCCCCGCTGATGGACATTCGGGTCATGGCCACCCTTTTGTCCTTTAACAGATAACAGGTGCCTCTGAACACCCTTGTGCAGGGATTCTCTGGGGTGGGTGACCATGAAGAGGATCCAGAAACAGAGAGGCTGTGGGACTAACAGCCCTGGTGCCCCGGGAAGCCTGGGGTGAGGGAGGGAAGCCACGTGGTCAGCATGAGGCAGGACATCAGAGGCCTCGGTCTCCGTCTCTCCGACGTCCTCTGTGCCTTCAGCTAGCAAGGGCACCTTGACGGCCCCAGTTCCGACGCAGCACCGCTTGTTACTTGTGGATGTCGTTCGACCCAGGAGGCCTTCGGGGACCCATGGGGTCTGCGTGGCCCATCATCCAGAGAGCCGCGGAGCTTGGCATGACGGAGCCTCCAGGGCCTTCTCTTCCTGTCCTGGCCCCTCTGCTGTGGTCGGGACCTCCCAGTTCTTCTCTGTTTGCACCATGACTGCAACCCAGCTTCCTTGTTCCCAGGTGTGGCATTGGCTCAAGGTGCTTTTCTTTTTTAACATCCCACATCCCCAGTCAGTGTGGTCGCAGCAGGGCAGGGCAGCTGCCTTGAAGCACCTCTTCGGCCTCAGGGTGCTGGAGAGGACGCAGCCCAGGCCCACCAGCCGGGCTTTGAGCTGCTCGGCCCTGCTGCGAGCTCAGGTCCTCAGGGCCACCTGCTCAGTTTCCATGTTGACTGTGAGAGACTCAAGTGTGATTTGAGGAGCAGATGCTTCACTGTGTGGTTTGCAGTGACTCCTCCCAAAACTTGACCGGTGGCAGGAACTCAAGTGCATGGCTCACGGGTGTCCGTCTCACACCACAGGGAAAACACTCCCCCGGTGAGTGCCAGCTGGGAGCCCGTTCCTCACGGGGAACAGGGAGATAGATATGTGGACCCGG